TTTTTTGGTAGAGACAAAGTCTCTACAAAATGTTGCCCAGCTGGTCTTGTACTCTTAGGATCAAGTGGTTCTTTCACCCCAGTCACTCAACGTGCTGGGATTACAGGTGTTTGCCACCAGGCTCAACCACAGTTTTCCACAGAATTAGAAAAAAAATTCTAAAACTCATATGGAACTTAAAAAAAGACGTAAATAGTCAAAGCAATCCAAAGCAAAAAGAGCAAAGCTGGAGGCATCGCATTACTTGACTTCAAACTATACTACAAGGCTATAGTAACCAAAACTGCATGGCACTGGTACAAAAATAGACACACAAACCAGTGGAACAGAATAGAGAACACACAAAAAATGTCACACACCCACAACCAATTGATCTTTGACAAAGTCAACAAAAATAATCACTGAGGGAAAGGATACCCTATTTAATAAATGGTGCTGGGAAAACTGGCTAACCACATGAAGAAGAATGAAACTGGACTCTTACTTATCACCATACACACAAATTAACTCAAGATGGATTAAAGACTTAAATGCAAGACCTCAAACTATAAAAATCCTAGAATAAAACCCAGGAAATACTCTTCTGGAGATTGGCCTAGACAAAGAATTTATGACTAAGTTCTCAAAAGCAAATGCAATAAAACCAAATTGATAATTAGGACCTAATTAAACTTCTGCACAGAAAAAAAAAATTTACAGAGCAAACAGATAACTTACAGAATGGGAGAAAATATTTGCAAACTATTCATCTAATGACAAATATCCAGAATCTAGGAACTTAAACAAACCAATAAGAGAAAACCAAAATAACCCCATTAAAGAGTGGGCAAAGGACATAAACAGACACTTCTCAAAAGAAGACATACAGGCAGGGCATGGTGGCTCATGCCAGTAACCTCAGCACTTTGGAAGGCTGAAGCGGTGGATCACTTGAGGTTAGGAGTTCAAGACCAGCCTGGTCAATATGGTGAAACCCCGTCTCTACTAAAAATACAAAAATTAGCCAGGTGTGGTGGCACATGCCTGTAATCCCAGTTACTTGGAAGGCTGAGGCAGAAGAATTGCTTGAACCTGGGAGGTAGAAGTTGCAGTGAGCCGATATCACTCCAGCCTAGGTGACAGAGCGAGACTCTGTCTGAAAAAAAGACATACAAGTGGCCAACAAACATGAAAAAATGCTTGACATCTTTCACTAATCGAGAGTTACGAATCAAAACCACAATGAGGCCAGGCACAGTGGTTCACGCCTGCAATCCCAGTACTTTGGGAGGCCAAGGCGGGTGGATCACTTGAGGCCAGGAGTTCGAGACCAGCCTGGTCAACATAGTGAAATCCAATCTCTACAAAGAAAAAAAACAACAAAGAAAACCCACAATGAGATACCATCTCACACCAGTCAGAATGGCTATTATTAAAAAGTCAGAAAATAACAGATGTTGGCAAGGTTGCAGAGAAAAGGGAATGTTTATATACTGTTGAGAGGAATGTAAATTAGTTTAGCCCTTGTAGAAAGCAGTTTGGAGACTTCTCAAAGAACTAAAAATAGAATTACCATTTGACTCAGCAGCCTCATTACTGGGTATATAACCAAAGAAAAATAAATTGTTCTACCAAAAAGGAACCTGCGCTCATATGTTTATGGCAGCACTATTCATAGTAGCAAAGACATGACATCAACCCAAGTGACCATCAATGGTGGGTTGTATTTTTTAGAAAGTGGTACATATACACTATAGAATACTACACAGCCATAAAAAATGAAATTATATTCTTTACAGACACATGGATGCAGCTGGAGGCCATTATTATAAATGAATTAATGCAGAAACAGAAACCAAATACTGCATATTCTCATTTATAAGTAGGAGCTAAACATTGAGTACACATGGACACCAAGATGGCAGCAATAGGCTGGCACAGTGGCTCACGCCTATAATCCCAGCACTTTGGAAGGCCAAGGCAGGTGGATAACCTGAGATTAGGAGTTCCAGACCAGCCTGACGAATATGGTGACATCCCGCCTCTACTAAAAATACAAAAATTAGCCGGAAATCGCTTGAACCCAGGAGGTGGAGGTTGTAGTGAGCCAAGATCGCACCACTGCACTCCAGCCTGGGTGACAGAGTGAGACTCCACCACAAAAAAAAAAAAAAAAAAAAAAGACTGCAATAGATACTGAGGACTCCAAAAGAGGGGAGGGTGGGAAGGGAGAAAGGGCTGAAAAACTACCTATCAGGTACTGTGTGCACTACCTGGGTGATGGGATCAACAGAGGCCCAAACTGCAGCATCATGCAATATAACTGCACATGTAATAAACCTGCGCATGTGCCCCTTGAATCTAATTTCTAAAAAAACAGTGTTAAGCCCTTGCCAAGAGAGGCTACAGGATCACAGTGGAAGAAAGATTTCAATGAATTTTTGAAAGACAAAGTAGACACCAGAGAAATCAACTTAACAGGGGAGAATGTTACAACCTAAGCAGAGGCAGATATGGAAGAGAAGAAAGCCAGTTGGCTCACAGACTTAGTGCCTGGATTTCCCAAGTACCATGAAGAAAGACTTCAATGAAACTAAAGCACTGGCTGAATGTTGAAGGGCTGAGCAGTTGGGTCATTCTCCTGTATCCACTCATAAGACAACAGTCCCTCCCCGACCTGTAGGAGATCTGAGGATTGTTGTCTTGGGAAGCTGAATAATCAAAGCTTTGGATTTGGAAAAGTTCTGAATTTAGGGACATAAAGAACAGGGAAGGCCAGGCACATTGGCTTATGCCTGTAATCCCAGCACTTTGGGAGGCCGAGGCGGGCCAATCACGAGGTCAGGAGTTCGAGACCAGCCTGGCCAATTTAGTAAAACCCTGTCTTTACTAAAAATTAAAAAAAAAATTAACTGGGGATGGTGGCGTGTGCCTGTAATCCCAGCTATTCAGGAGGCTGAGGCAGGAGAATCGCTTGAACCCGGGAGGCGGAGGTTGCGGTGAGCCGAAATCGCGCCACTGCACTCCAGTCTGGGCAAGAGAGCACGACTCCATCCCCCTGCTACCCCCAAAAAAGGGAAGGTTGGGATGAGCACCAGACTGAATTCAGCATGATGAAAGTCTCCTGATAAACTGTGGGGACCACAGTTCTCTCCCCGATCCCATCCTCAGACGATCAGGGGCAAAGAGCTTAGGGCTCCCCCATGAAAAGGGTGGCTCACTGATTGATTCCCTAATAGAGAACCCACTAACTTGTCAGTAAGTCCCACATAGAACTTCACATCTGCTTATTAAAAAACGACCTCACTGTCTTAAACAGAAACAGACAGTCAGGGATGACTACACATTTGGGAAAAGTCTCCAACATAAAAGAGAAAGATTTAAAACCAACTAACTAACTAAGCCTTGGAGGAAAGAGAAATAGTGCAAGAAGATGCAGCAATGATGCCATTAAGGTCCTTGAGAATGGAACAACTGAGATACAACAAGGAAAAAAAACCCACACAAACAGCAGAAACCAAGAAAGGGTTCTGGGAAACTGTAAATGTAACAGTGTAAATAAAAAATTCATAATAAGTAGGAAAATTAAATCAGGGAAACCCACCAACCAAAAGGTTAACTAAAAAGTCAAAGGGGGCCGGGTGCGGCGGCTCACGCCTGTAATCCCAGCACTTTGGGAGGCCAAGGTGGGCGGATCACAAGGTCAGGAGCTCCAGACCAGCCTGGCCAACATGATGAAACCCCGTCTCTACTAAAAATACAAAAATTAGCTGGGCATGGTGGTGGGCGCCTGTAATCCCAGTTACTTGGGAGGCTGAGGCAGGAGAATCACTTGAACCTGGGAGGTGGAGATTGCAGTGAGCTGAAATCATGCCACTGTACTCCAGCCTGGGCGACAGAGTGAGATTCCATCTCAAAAGAAAGAAGGAAGGAAAGAAGGAAGGAAGGAAGGAAAGAAGGAAGGAAGGAAGGAAGGAAGGAAGGAAGGAAGGAAGGAAGGAAGGGAAAGAAGGAAAGAAAGAAGGAAAGGAAGGAAGGAAGGAAGGGAAGAAAGAAAGAAAGAAAAAAGGAAGGAAGGAAGGGAGGGAAAGAAAGAAAAAGAAAAAGAAAGAAAGAAAGAAAGAAAGAAAGAAAGAAAGAAAGAGAAAGAAAGAAAGAAAGAAAGAAAGAAAGAAAGAACGAACGAACAGAGGGAAGAAAAACAGAAACAAATTTAGAGGATCAGAGCAGAAAGTCCACTCAGCTAAAATTAAAAGCTGCCAGAAAACGAAATCATTGAAAGTGGAAAAAAGAAATTAATAAAGTGATACAAGACATTTTCTTGATGGACATGAGATTCCAGAATGAAAATTCTACTGAGTGCCCAACACAGTAAGTGAAAAAAGACCTGCCCTGGACACGTCACTGTGAAAGTTCAGGACACTGGGAATCAAGAGAGAACATTCTTAAACTCCCAGAGAGAAAAAGGAAAGTATAAGCAAAAGGTGGGAAATCAGAATTTCACTGGATTGTTCAAAAGCATCAACTTCAGAAAACGAGAAGAAAATGGCATATTGCTTCCAAAATTCCAAGGGAAATGTATGTACAACCCAGAGTTGCTAGAGTAAGCCACGATTCTGGAGTGACCCATGTCAGTTAAGTGTGAGGGAAGAATAAAAACATTTTGAAACATACTATGGCTTTGAAAATCCACTTTCTGTGCACTGGAAGCTACTGAAGGATACGTTCCATCAAAATGGGGGCAAGTGAATGAAAAAAAGCATTCCAGAGAGCAAGGAAGAAAAGCTCAGGATGTTCCAGCAGGGCAGGAATGCAGAAGGCCGTATTCATGAACAGAGAATCCGGGAGAGAGGTCATGATGGTTAATTTTTTTTAAAGCTACGATGGTTAATTTTATGTGTCAACTTGGCTAGGCCATGATAACTAGATATTTGGTCAATCACCAGTCTAGACATTGCTGTGAAGGTATTTTCAGATGAGAGTAACATTTAAATCAGTAGACTTTAAGTAAAGCAGATTACCTTTCATCACGCGGTCTCATTCAATCAGTTGAAGGCCTTAGGGCCTTCAGAGACTGATGACCCTCAAAGAAACAAAAATTCTGCCTCTAGATTGCCTTTGGACTGGAGCTGCAGCAGCCACGCTTCCCTGGGTCTCCAGCCTGGCAGCCTACCCTGCAGATTTTAGACTTGCCAGCCTGCACAATCATGTAAGCCAATTCTTCAAACTGAATTCCCCTCTCTCTCCACCACCCGCACACACCCTCACACTGCTCCACCTTCCCATAACACACATTCCATCAGTTCTGTTTCCCTGGAGAACTCTGACCAGTACTACATACAGGAAAAAAATGGAATGCAAAGCTTTGTGAATATAGAAAATATCATTGCTGGGCATGGTGGCTCATGCCTGTAATCTTAGCACTGTGGCAGGGTGAGGCAGGTGGATTGCTTGACCCCAGGAGTTTGAGACCGGCCTGTGCAACATAGTGACACCCTGTTTCTACAAAAAATACAAAACTTGGCTAGGTGCAGTGGCCCATGCCTGTAATCCCAGCACTTTGGGAGGCTGAGGCGGGTGGATCACCTGAGGTCAGGAGTTCGAGACCAGCCTGGATAACATGGTAAAACCCTGTCTCTACTAAAGATATAAAAATTAGCTGGGTGTGGTGGTGCATGCCTGTAATTCCAGCACTTTGGGAGGTCAAGGCGGGTGGATCACCCGAGATCAGTTCAAGACCAGTCTGTTCAACATGGCAAAACCCCATCTCTACTAAAAAATACAAAAGTTAGCCAGGTGTGGTGGCAGACGCCTGTAATCCCAGCTACTTGGGAGGCTGAGGCAGGAAGAATTGCTTGAACCCGGGAGGCGGAGGTTGCAGTGAGCTGAGATCGTACCACTGCACTCCAGCCTGGGCAACAGAGTGAGACTCCATTAAAAAAACAAAAAACACACAAATAAACAAACAAACAAACAGAAAAAAAAACAAAACCGTGTAGGGCATGGTGGTGCGTGCCTGTAGTCCCAGCTACTTGGGAGGCTGGGGTGCGAGGATCACCTGAGCCTAGAACGTTGTGCCTGGGCAACAGAGTAAGACTCTATCTCACAAAAAAAAGAGAGAAAGAAAGGAGAGAAGGAAGGAAGGAAGGAAGGAAGGAAGGAAGGAAGGAAGGAAGGAAGGAAAGAAGGAAGGAAGGAAGGAAGATCATTGCTCAATGTGTGTCAGAGAGTCACAAAATTAAATTAATTATGACTACATGGAAAAGGAGGTAAAAGAAAAAGTGAGGCAATTATTAATTCCAGGAAAAACAAAGAATCATATCTTAGCAATGAACAATATTTGTCAAAGTAGTGTAAATGCCAACCACTAACAAAAAAATCTATATAATTACCTTGGGAGGGGTGAATGAATCAGTAAAGTCTAAAACTAACAAATTGAGAAACACAATATAAGCATATTATTCAGAAACATGGAGATAAATGCTTAGGGAAATTCCTAAAAGAGATAAGGATAATTTTCTGTGGGTGCAGGGCTACGAGATAAGAAAAGGCAGTTAGCTGGCCAGGCATGGTGGCTCATGCCTGTAATCCCAGCACTTTGGGAGGCTGAGGCAGGAGGATCACCTGAGGTCAGGAGTTCGAGACCAGCCTGGTCAACATGGTGAAACCTCATCTCTACTAAAAATACAAAAAATAGCTGGGCGTGGTGGTGCATGCCTGTAATCCCAGCCACTCAGGAGGCTGAGGCAGGAGAATCACTTGAGCCCGGGAGGCAGAGATTGCAGTGAGCCAAGATCACGTCATTGTACTCCAGCCTGGGCAAGAAAAGTGAAACTCCGTCTAAAAAAATAAAACAAAACAAAACAAAACAGAAAAGAAAAGGCAGTTAGCTATCTGCAGTTTTTCATGACAAGCCTTTTTCACTACTCGAATTTATACACAGGTATTGATTTGATAGAAATGAAAAATATTTGCCCACTTACAGCTCTGTCTCTTTTGGACTGTAGTGTCAGGTAACTAATTTGACATATTAGCAAAATAAAGCCTGATATATTGTCTAGCCCTATAAGATAATGTACTTAATTTTTCTTTTCTTTTCTCCTTTCTTCCTTCCTTCCTGCCTGCCTGCCTTCTTACCTCCCTCCCTTCCTTCCTTTCTTTCTTTTTTGAAACTGAGTCTCACTCTGTCTCCCAGGCTGGAGTGCAAAGGCACGATCTCGGCACACTGCAACCTCCGCCTCCCGAGTTCAAGCAGTTCTCTTGTCTCAGCCTGCTGAGTAGCTGGGATTACAGGCGCCTCCCACTACGCCTGGCAAATTTTTGTATTTTTAGTAGAGACAAGGTTTTACCATGTTAGGCTGGTCTCGAACTCCTGACCTCAGGTGATCTGTCCACCTCGGCTTCCTAAAGTGCTGGGATTACAGGCATGAGCCACCGCGCCCGGCCAATTTACTTAATTTTTCAAGGGCTCCAATACTTCTATGCTAAAATGACTAATTGTAAAAATTTTAATCAACACAGGAAATAAGTGTGAAGAGTGGGGAATATTTGAGTTTTCCGAAACCAAATCACTGGGCAATGAGTACATTATCCAGAGCCTAGAGCATCATGGATTCTCAATTCACATCTAATGGGATTTGTGACAGAAGGGCACGAAACTCATTACGCTGAGTGTGGTACCCTACCTACGGGGTAGGATATTGGGGGCAGTGTGGACCCTTGCATCTAAAATATTTCCTGCATTTATATTCCACAGATGCTTGAAATTCAATGACAGTTTCATTTCATTGGTTCTCGAGGGTTTTTTGATATTTAGAGTTGGGATGGGAACTTTCTCAGGAAAGGAACTTTCTGAGATGGGAACTTTCTCAGGAAAGGAACACCCCTTAGTAGGGGGTAACCTGCTTGTAACTGAGAATAAGAAGGGAACCAGGTATGGCAGCTGTGCCCATAATCCAAGTCACTTGGGAAGCTGAAGCAGGAGGATAGCTTGAACTCAACAGTTTAAGTGCAGCCTGGGCAACATGGCAAGGCCCCCCGTCTCTAATAAAATAAAATAAAATAAAATAAAATAAGAAAAGAAATTTCTATTAAAAGCTTATTTTAAAAATAAGTAAAATAGAATAAGAATCGAAAAGTGAAGGGTAGGCAAAGGCAGAGGTAATGGTCACACAGGACTAGCCTTTGGCTGGGTCATCTTTTCTACCAGTCACCAAACCAGGGCACTGAGAAAGTCCAGCAGCGCCTGTGAGCCTGCTGTATTTGCAGTAGCAGGGACTGGCCGGGAGATGGCAGCCCTGTCCCGGGTGGTGCCTCAGCCGCAGTTGCTGTCAGGGCCATCGGGAGGCAGTGCAGGAGCACGCAGATATGTAGCAACTCAGCCTAAAAAGCAGTTTTTATTATAATACATTGCTACTGTGATAAGCACTCAGCAAATATTTGTTTGAGTGAGTTGACTCTATGTCAATCATTAAGATCACTCTCTTGAATGCACCCTCAACACCTTTGCAGGTACCACAATCCTGGGTCATCACTTTACACCCATGTCCATGAATGTTACCCTGTATCCCCCCGTCTGTTCATTCTCACACTGTTTCACACTTGCAACTCACTCAGCTGAGCTCTGACACCTCACTCTGCTCACAGTCTTGCTTTCCAGTTCACTGAGAAAACGAAGTAGATAGATGGAACTTCCATAGCGCCCTACCACGACCACACCGGTATGGTCGGCCTTCCTGCTAGTGAAGGTAGGTGAACTGTCCTGGCTCCTAAGGGCAACCCTTCCCGTGCCCTAGGTAAAACCCCTTCTTACTTCCACGGAAACATGACTCCAGAAAATTTTCACCTTTTCCCCCACATCATCAATTTTCCTTTCTCTACTAGGTTATTCCTATTAGCACAGAAACCTGCTGTTATCTCTCCCATCATTATTTATCATTCCTCTTGGGCCCCCATTTTCTATCAGGTATGACCCTATTTCTGTTCTTTTTTGCAGTAAAATTCCTGGGGTTTTCCATACTTGCTGATACTCACCAACTCCAAAGCCTTCCCTGCTATTTTCGGCTACACCCACTGTAATCAGCTTTTGTTCAGACCATCCCAAAGGAACTACTCTTGACCTCTGCATCACTTACATCCATTGGCCAACCCTGTCCTCATCTTCACTTTATCTATAAACAGCACTTGATTGCTAGCTCCTCACTTCACCGACTCCCAGGGCACCATCAACTGGTTTCTCCTCCCCTCTTAGTTCTTTGTGGAGTCTGCCTTTTCTCCCCAGTCTATCATTACCAAGTTCTCTAAGGCATGGTCCTTGCACTTATTTATACCTCTAGCTCAGACTTCTCTCCATACTCTGACACCCAACTGTTCAACTTCTCTACATGACCATTTAATCGGCCCCCAAACTGTTATCCTGATATTCCCCTGCTCTGCCCACAGTCTTCCTGTCTCAGTTAATGGCTACCCATCCTTCCAGGCTCTCAGGCCAGAATCACTGCCGGCATTAGTGACCACTTTCTTTCTCTCACACTCCATATCAGCTCCCTCAGGAAATCCTCCTGGCTGTACCTTCAAAATATATTGGGATTCAGGCTGGGTGTGGTGGCTCGTGCCTGTAATCCCAGCACTTTGGGAGGCTGAAGCAGGTGGATCACTTAAGTTCAGGAGTTTGAGACCTGCCTGACCAATATGGTGAATCCCTGTCTCTGCTAAAAATAAAAAAATTAGGCCAGGCGTCGTGACTCATGCCTGTAATCCCAGCATTTTGGGAGGGTGAGGCGGGCGGATCACCTGAGGTCAGGAGTTCGAGACCAGCCTGACCAATATGATGAAACCTCATCTCTACTAAAAATACAAAAATTAGCCGGGCGTGGTGGCATGCGCCTGTAATCCCAGCGACTCAGGACGCTGAGACAGGAGAATTGCTTGAGCCCATGAGGCAAAGGTTGCAGTGAGCCAAGATCGCGCTTCTGCACCCCAGCCTGGGGGACAGAGCAAGATTCCATCTCAAAAAAAAAAAGAAAAAGAAAGAAAGAAAATAATGAATTCTTACCATGTCTCACCACCTACACCCACTACCACTCTGGGACAAGTCATCAATATATCTCCCCTGGATTACTCAATAGCCTCCTAAGTAGTCTTCCTACATCTCCTCCAATTTATTGTCAATTGAGCACCCAGAGTGATCTCTTTTAGAAAGGCCAGACCATGTCACTCCTTTGCTCAAAACTATCTACGGCCTCCCCACATTAGTGGGAACAAAAGCCAAAATCCTTAGAAAGGCATGCAAGATTCTAGACCAACAAAGTCCAATCAAAATAGAATGCAAGTCACACGGGGCATTTTAAATTTCCCAGGAGTCACAATGAAAAAG